GGGAAAGAAAAGGAAATACAGCAGAGAGAAGACCTGGTATTACATTTGGTAAACAAAGTCTACTTTCCATTTAAAAATTGTAAATAATACTGAGTGCTCCAACTCTGAACTTTCCTGTCTTTCAGTTCCCACTGACCTCTCCGTGTGAGTTTACCTTCACTTAAGGGGTGAACACACAATAAAGTGATCTTTCAGAATTCACTTTAGAAATGGCATTAAAGTCCATGGAGCAGGGCAAGGTTTGGAACATGCTGTCCCCCCCCACACACACCCCAAAAAAACCTTTAATAAAAGTGATACCAGGCCATCCAATAGCATGGGGTGAAATGAAAGCAGAGAATCCCAAGCATGATTTCATAAAAAATTGGGGTCAAACAAGATTCAGAAAAATTGCATACTGGAGATTTAACTTCACTGCACATGAAGCCAAAGTTGATTTTTAAACCAAGAGCTTACTATATAAAAAGCAGCAACAATGCATCCATATTTACTGTTTCGTGAAATATATTCTGACTGAAATATTTTTTTCTTAGTTGCCTGAGCTCTAAGATGCTGATTATGCAGGAATGTATTTGTCTCAAGCGCATCAATACTATTTTGAGCTTGTTATAAGTTTCTTGTTACAGGCAACATTTGTCAAAGAAGTCAGACTGAAGAATGTATACTCTTTTGAGTCTAAAGTAATGAAACACAAAAACATATATGACAGCCCTTACAGAGCAATTCACTCTGAATAATCTCCTTTCTACAAGCAAATACTGACCCCCCCACACACACACCCACACATACACACAATCAGTTATTCAGAAGCACTGCTGCCCTTCTGTTTTTTGGGGGGGAGGGGGGTTGCCATCAAGTCACAGCTTATGTATGGCAATGGGCCAAGGCAAGAAACATTCAGAGGTGGTTTGCCATCACCTGCCTCTGCATCTCCCATCCAAATACCAGCGATGGCTGACCCTGCTTAGCTTCTGAGATCTAACGAGATCAGGCTAGCCTGGGCTATCCAGGTCAGGGCTGCCCTTCTATACCACTTCAGAATTTTTAGGCTAAGGAAATATTGGACAAGATCAAGCATGACAATGTAGTAAGCGTTTGTTCTGTTGTTTGTAAAAAAAAATCCTATGTAGGCTATTTGCTGACTACTGGATTAGCTTAATGTCTTCGGACTTGAACATTATTACGCACTTAACGTGTTGTTCACATAATTACCAGATAAATCTTTGAACTCCCTGAAATTTTCAAATGTAGTTGTAAAGTTAATATAAAACAGGGTAGATTGATTTAAACACAGTTTCAAATTTTGAAATTCATGAATTTCCTGAACAAATGGTTTCTATAAAACAAAATACATTTATTTACAGCTAGAAAGAATCTTACTACAATTTTAGAAGTATAATCCAAAATCTTGATTAGTTATGCACAACTGGGGGACACATGAGGATCTCATTTCCCCACTCCCTCTCTTGCCCTTGCTTTTCTCCTTTGCATTCCCAGCAGTGCCTGCTGCCCCTCTCCTTTCCTTCTTTCCCAACCTGATTAAAGAGTAAACAAAGGTTTACTTAGGAACTAACTTGGTAGAAAAGAGAAAAAACAAAGATAGGTTCCTAACCACATCTCTAGCTGAGAGAAAACGAGAAGACTGAGGTGTCGAACTTCTGAGAAGGGGGAAATTGCCATAAGAGTAGCAATCTGGAGACAGACAAGGAATGACACTTAACGTGAGAGAGAAGGTGGTGTCCTCACTATCCTATCTAATTGTCTTCTTGCTGCCCCCTGCAGGGTCTTCTTCTTTTCTTCTTTGTACACCAGACATTGTCTTTTCCAACAAGAGACAGATTTATGTTTGGTCTCTTTGTACACATTCAAGGATACATTTATGCTTGGGTTTCTTTGGCAGGTCTGATGGAAAAGAACAATTTCTCTTGTTGGCACTACAAAACAACTTGAACTAACTGCAACTGCTCAGATTGGTTGTCAGCCAAAGAAATCAAAATGATTCACCTCTCCATAAATTACTGGATTAGCTGTAACAAAAGTTGATAGTTGATCTAAGATTCTTTTTAAACTCCATTGGTTACTATCAGTTGACAACCCACTTCTTTCCAGAGGAACAAAAACTGGAGGGAAGACAAATGACAAATCTCCACCTGTTCCTCTAATTAATCTATACTGGAGTAACTTGATGTGTAAAGAAAGTGAAGGATTTATAGAAGGGATTCAAACACTAAGCAGACCTGGATTTTTCCTATGCTTTAGAAATACTTCATTTTTAAAATGGCAAGTGTTCTTAATTCTTAATTTTAAGGCACAGTAAAAATTGCCATTTATTGGTTATAATATTATACAGCTTTATCTTTTCTGATAACAATTTTACTGATAGCAAAGCAGAATGAATCCTGCATATTCAATAAAAGTGCAAAGTTGGATCAAAATCAGAAGCCCCAACAATGAAATTAATGGAGAAGCCAGATGAATAACAGTGTAAAGACATGCAGAGGGAGCACAATCTAGAAATCAAAACACTGGATAACTCTGAAAAGGACACTAGGTTACCTTGGCCACTATTTTTCACCCGGAAGATAGTACATTTTAATATAGTTACAAGGGATTAAACCAGGCTAGATAGACTGATTTTGGAGTAAATCAGTGACAACAGTTGCATAAAGAACCACTTTTTGGTTTGTTTGTCTGTATGCATCACCACATTTTCTTCCCTAAGGAGAATGATGTGGTGGATGCTTGAAAGGTTTATGAATTATAACATAACAACTGGGGCCCTACAAGACTCGCTGGGGGAATCCTATCTCCCCACTTGCTGTACCCAGCATGATCACCGGGCTCTGTTTGGGCTGTGCTGCCGCCAGGCCCAGTGCTGAGTCCTGGGCTGTTCCACCGGGGCCAATGTAGCCCCTGGGCTCTCCAGCAGCTCCCCCTGGGCCTGGCACAACCCCCAGGCTCTCCCTGTGCTGCACTGCCAATGGCATCATCCTCAGCACAACTCCCAGGCTGTGGCAGCGGTATACCCAGCACAGGTCCCAAGCTTTTGGGGGGATTTAAACCCCCTTTAATTTTTTTTCAGATTTTTCTGTATACCTGGGACGTTCCCCTAGTATGCAGAAAAATCTTTTTATTTTCCTTCTGGCACCAATTCGTGGATTTAGCTATCTGCAGAAAACAGCCACATGTGGCTAATAGTATACAGACATATTTGTAATTCATGGACAAGAGCCAGCAAAACTACCTTCATGCAATAAGGAGAACTATTCAGATAGCTGGTGAAGGTCCCAATACAGAAGTGTGCATTGTTGAAAGGACAAGACACTCTTCAGTTTAACACCTAATTTTTTTTTTAAATGGACAGCCTCTTTCAACATCTGGTGGAAAGCTGAAATCTCTATCCCATTAGCATTCTTCTCTTGTTTTCATCATGATTTCAGAGACCACAGGTGGTTCTCAGACCAGAGTTTATAAACCACTGAACTAAAAGATTTTTTAAAAATGCTTCCTCTCAATTTCTTTACCTTGTGATATTCAATTCGAAGTGGTGAAATTAATATTTATTTATTTATTATAACATATAGAATTATGAGTTGGTTGGCTAAGAGAAGAAATGTGTATGGTTCTCAATGTATAGATATGATCTGTAGATTGCTACACTTGCATCAAAATTTAATTGCTGAACAACAACAAAAGAAGGATTTTACTGAACTGCCAAATCCTTGAGAAACTTGATACCTGAATCAAAAGTTTTCAGCACTCTTCTGAAAATTTAAGAGGCGCGACTTCTCCATAAAGATTCATAATGGTGTCCAAACATCCTTTGTTATTTTTCTACACACATACAGAATGTGCTGTTTCATTTCTGCTCTGAATCAATTCTAAGGAACCCCAGTGCCAATGTCTTCAAATAATTCTTTGTGAATGAGCTGTGTGGGTCATAGACTGAGAGGAAGAATATCTGCTTGGCATGCAGAAGGTCCCGGGTTCAATTCCTGGCAACTCCAGTTAAAAGAATCAGGTTGTAGATTATGACAAAGATCAGGGTGCCTGGCTTTGATGGACCAATGGTCTGATTCCATATAAAGGCAGCTTTATGTGATGTAATTATTAGCATGTCAGATTTCAGTTTCTGCACTGTTTCAGACTGCGTTGTGTCCGTGTTCTGAAAAGATACAGCTAAGCTCCACTCCATGTACACACTGAAAAACAGGTAACTGCTTCTCTGTGATGAAATTCTGTACAGCTGTGGAGTACATGTAAGTATCACAACCATGTGGGTAGGGCCAATTACATGAGTATTCCCACAGACAAGAGGGGAGACTGTTGCCAGCCCCTCCCTTTCATCCACACACTCCTCACTCCCAGCCTGAATGCATGCACTGCATGAGCAGGTCCCACAAGGCAAGCACAGAGCACGGGGGAAAATTGCTATGTTTTGAGTCTCATGATGGATCCTGCAAAAACAAATACTGCAAATGATCTCGCAGCAATGTCAACTTTCAAGGAAACCTTTTTGGGAGAAATCAGGGAGTGCCAACAGGATTAAGCCATACCAGGCTAGAACACAAAGATGCCTCTCCCCATATTGTCTTCTACATTGATGTGTGGTCACTGACCATTATCTCAATTCAGATGTTAATTGCCCTGTGACAGCCTGGAACCTCCAATTCAAATCTTCCCATTGTCCCCAAAGCTCCCACTTAATATAAGATACAGTGTCATATCTCCAGTTTTGTAATTCTGAATGTTGTTGTTGTTTAGTCGCACAGTCGAGTCCGACTCTTCGCGACCCCATGGACAAGATCATGCCAGGCCCTCCTGTCTTCCGCCGTCCTCTGAAGTTGGCTTAATTTCATGTTCGTTGCATCTATGACACTGTCTAACCATCTCATCCTTTGCCGTCCCCGTCTTCTTATAATTCAGTAAAAAAAAACGTTCCTCCCTGCTGCCCTTCCCTGATAATAGTTTTT